AAGAGCCTCTTGATGCAGTTGAGGACCTCTGTGGCAAATGCCCTTTGAAAGTTTGAGATGTGTAACCACACCCCTTTACGAACACCAGGGCTTCAAAATAAAGCTTCAACAAACTCATTAAAGACATAGTCCAAGTACAACAAAAGGGACTTTCTAGCAGGTATTACTGTACTACCCAGGTACCAGAGAGGCTCCAGAGCAAGATGTCTCCTCAGAGCTGTTGATAGGAGGATCACAGCATATCTCAGCAGGTGTGAACAAACATGACAACTCACCTACTTTCTTGGAGCTTCAAATCATTCTGCAGGACTGTGAGGTCAATTTGGAAGTTGTTAATGTGCAGAGCCAATGCAATGACGTATGCTGTGATTTTAGCCTTCATTGATGCAGAGATTAAATTCTGGACACTGCATGGCAAGAGGAACAACACAAGATGTGAAGTGTCAGTGAACCCAAAACACAAGCCCCACTAGGTGCAGACAGAACAGGAGCCCCAGTTAGACATGATGGACTTTTCCTAGACACCAAAGAAGAGCTCAAAGCAGCACAGACCTCTGATCACAGGGGCCTAACAAGTTTCTCTGTCCTTCTCAGGTGCCCGCGTTTCTGTTCAGAAGTGTGGGCTCCTAAGGTTATCACTATGCAGCCTTGACAAATCCACCAGCTAATGAATGACACATCAGTCTCTTTGGCACTGGTCCCTTGCAAGAGGAAGGCAAAGAAAAGCTCTTCTGAGGGTATTCAATGGAAGTACTAACGGCGCCTCAAATACATAACCCACACAAAGCAGATCCCTGTCTGGTGGTCCTCTGGCAGCATATGGCTACTTGTCACTGGTCACTCACTGGTCAGAGCCTTCAGACAAAAGCTGGCCCATTTGGACTGAAACTCTCTGCTCCTGCCAGGTCAACAGTGGTAGTACAGCTATGCAATAGCAAAGCATCACCATCATGCCTCTTCTAGGCAGAGAGGCTGTTGGCTCCCTGAGCATGGGGAAGACACTGGCAAGAGTAAGGACACTCTTCATTCTTACCGTTATTTTGGTACTTCCCATTCAACAGAATTGCTGAAAACATTTATCCAGATTTTTAACTTCTTAGTTGTAAGTGGCATCTGTCAGAAGGCTGCAGCCAACAGCTGGTCAAAGGCAGCCTCCACTGCCTGAGGCTCCCCCTGCAGTGAGACAGCACTCAGCACCCCACACAAGTGGCTCTGACAGTGCTGGAAAGGGGGACTTTGTAGAAGCTCCAGTCATGGGGTGATAGCTTCTCCTGTCTGACCTCCATGGCAGGATCAGGCCCTACTTTACTAAACCAGACTTTGTCACTGATGGCAGGGCAATCCTGGGCAAGCTTAGGCAGAACTCTTTGGCCTGGATCTGCATGGGTCTCAGCTCAGGGCAAGTTAAACGGTGCACATCTTTAGTTTTGTCTGTGTGGGTTTCATGGAGAATTCAAAAGAGTCAAGTCATGCCTAGGTTCATGTAAAAGCACTCCTGTAATGCTAATTAAACTATGTGAATGTAAAGAAAACACCATTATTTAGCCACTACAACTGCCTCTGTCCTGACCCACATGGTGGAAAGAGCTGACGCATCCATCTGGCAGCTGCCTTGGTTCACATGTGAAAATGTACATGCGAAGAGCTGCCTGTTTACCTGCAGAGCCAAGAGTTAGCTCTAAAGCAAACACCCAGTCTGCCATCCTGCATTCAGAAATGGTCAGGCAGATCATAGAATCATACAATGGTTAGGGCTGGAAAGGACCTTAAGATCATCTAGTCCCAAGCCCCCTGCCATGGGCAGGGACGCCTCGCATTAAACCATGTTGCCCAAGGCTCTGTCCAGCCTGGCCTTGAACACTGCCAGGGATGGCGCACTCACAGCTTCCTTTGGCAGCCTGTTCTAGTGCCTCACCACCCTCTCTGTGAAGAACTTCTTCCTTATATCTAACCTGAACTTCCCCTGTTTAAGTTTAAAGCCATTACCCCTTGTCCTACCACTACAGTCCCTCTCCAGAATTCTTGTAGGCCCCCTTCAGGTACTGGAAGGCTGCTCTGAGGTCTCCACACAGCCTCTCTTCTCCAGGCTGAACAGCCCCAACTTTCTCAGCCTGTCTTCATACAGGAAGTGCTCTAGCCCTCTGATCATCCTCGTGACCCTCCTCTTGACTTGCTCCTACAGCTCCGTGTCCTTTTTATGTTGAGGACACCAGAACTGCACACAATACTCCAAGTGAGGTCTCAAAGATCAGATCAGGCACCACATTTGATCGTGCTAGCTAAATCCACAGGTACAGGCTTGCTTTAGCACACAAGACCTTGCTTCTCCCCTAAGTCACATTTTAGACCTGTGTGGGAAAATGGGGGAAATTACAGACCACCTCCCCCAGTCTCCCCAAAGTTCTATTATAACACTAATGAAAACTTATGGTAAAATGCAGCTGCTTCTCCCACAGTGGGATGCGGTTGGATGCACAGAATCTATCCGGTGATAGCTCCCCAGGCAACCCTGCAACCTTGACATATGCTGGGAGAAACTGACTGGAGGGTGGAGCAGAGTGAAAGCCCTGTGGGCAGGCTCTGTTGTAAAAGGAGTGGGAATGCGAAGGCACCATGTACTGATAAATGGCACAACAGCTGCTAAACAAGGAAACTAGATTTGTATTTGTAAAAGCAAAGCAAGAGGATTTTACACCCATCAGTAATGAAGTATGACTAGAGTCACTCAAGCTCCATAAGCACGGAGTTAAAAAGTTGAAACCTATGTTATTATGGAGAAGCCTGGACAGCTGCAAGGGCCTCCTACACCATCTGGATGAACAACACTAATGAACAAAGAACTGATAGTGGAAGAGGAGGCTTTGCCCTTGTGTAGGTTGATTAAGAAACAGGGCTAACAAATCTCTAATGAGGAAAGACCATCCTTGAAGCCTGGTACATCTTGGAAGCACAAAGACATTGCTAACATACAGCTTCATGCAGCCCAGAAAGCCAACTGTATCCTGGGCTGTATCAAAAGGAGCATGACCAGCAGGTCAAAGGAGGTGATCTTGCCCCTCTACTCTGCTCTCATGAGACCTCACTTGGAGTATTGTGTACAGTTCTG